ATAAGGCACCCCAATGCTTTCCGAGGCCTCCGAAACCCCTTTCGGACACACTGGTCATCACCTGGTACCCCCGGAACAATTCCGGACTCCAATACCCTTCGTGCAATATACCGATCTTCACCTTCGGACCATTCCGGAGCTCCTCGTCATGTCCGGGATCTCATCCGGGACTCCGAACAACCTTCGGTAACCACATACTATTTCCCATAACAACTCTAGCGTCACCGAACCTTAAGTGTGTAGACCCTACGGGTTTGGGAACCATGCAGACATGACCAAGACGTTCTCCGGTCAATAACCAACAGCGGGATCTGGATACCCATGTTGGCTCCCACATGTTCCACGATGATCTCATTGGATGAACCACGATGTCAAGGATTCAAGCAATCCCGTATGCAATTCCCTTTGTCAATCGGTATGTTACTTGCCCGAGAGTCAATCGTCGGTATCCCAATACCTCGTTCAATGTCGTTACCGGCAAGTCACTTTACTCATTCCGTAATGCAAGATCCCGTGACTAACTACTTAGTCACATTGAGCTCATTATGATGATGCATTACCGAGTGGGCCCAGAGATACCTCTCCGTCTCACGGAGTGACAAATCCCAGTCTCGATTCATGCCAACCCAACAGACACTTTCGGAGATACCCGTAGTGCACCTTTATAGTCACCCAGTTACGTTGTGACGTTTGGTACACCCAAGGCACTCCTACGGTATCAGGGAGTTGCACAATCTCATGGTCTAAGGAAATGATACTTGACATTAGAAAAGCTTTAGCAAATGAACTACACGATCTTGTGCTATGCTTAGGATTGGGTCTTGTCCATCACATCATTCTCCTAATGATGTGATCCCGTTATCAATGACATCCAATGTCCATGGTCAGGAAACCATAACCATCTATTGATCAACGAGCTAGCCAACTAGAGGCTCACTAGGGACATGTTGTGGTCTATGTATTCACACATGTATTATGGTTTCCAATTAATACAATTATAGCATGAACAATAGACAATTATCATGAACAAGGAAATATAATAATAACTATTTTATTATTGCCTCTAGGGCATATTTCCAACATAGAGGAGATTCGGACTCCTCTAACTCGTATGCCTCGTCTGACATAGTCGAGGTGTCGGTCGTTGTCCTATCAGACGACGAAGAAGAGGCAGAAGAGGACGAGATCCAAATGGTCGCGCCAGTCCACAACGCCAGGGAGGGCGACAGAGACCTACCGACTGATGTGGAAGTGCTCCTAGATGTGCCTAACATCGTCAAGCAGGAGCTGGTGGAGGAGGAGCCCAAGCAGGACGCGGCGGCGGAGCCGGCAAGGATCGGCAACAAGAGATCTTCTGCAATGGAGGTGCGCCGCTCCGAGCGTCTCAAGCGACTGAAGATGTGAAGAACGACTGAAGGAGTGAAAAAGAAGTGAAGAAGGAGTGAAGAAGAAGGTCAAGTAGTTAGGTATGCTGCATATAAGTTTAGCATATAAGTTAGTGCTATTTTGCGTTTAGTTAAGTTAGGTGTGCTGCTTACAAGTTCAGCACATAAGTTATTTGTAATCTGCCGTGGGAACTGCTGCAAAGTTATGCTTGATCTACTGCAATGTTTGCTGAACTTATGCTATGATGATCAAATGATGCTATGCTGCAATGCTGCTATGCTTGCTATTTTGTTCTGTTAATTTTTGTTACAATGCTGCTGCTGCTGTGTTTGCCATGTTACTGCTGCTGTGTATGGCATGTTGCTGCCGCTGCTGTGTTTGCATTGCTGCTGTAGGTTTAACTCTATTTAGTTAACTGAAATTATGTTCAGTCATAATCTTAACTGAATTTGCAATTCACCCAATCTTCAGTGAACTGGATATTCATATAACCGAATATTAAATTAGCTGAATCTTCAGTAACATAAACATGCAACTAATTGGATCTTAGGTTTATCTTAGGGTTATCTTAGGTTATCTTAGGGGTTATCTTCAGTAACATAAACAATGCACTGACACTGTCTTCAGGTATGCAAATGTAATTAACTAAAAGTACTTAATCTCAACTAGTTAAACACATCTTCAGTTTAACACATGTTAACTGAAACAAATACAGTTAACTCATCTTCAGTTAAACTCATAATCCATGTAACTTCAAATTCAGTTAACTGAATCTTCAGTTACACTATCAAAAATTCAACCAAGTTAACTGAAACTTCAAATTATGACAAATTCAGAGCAGTCATACATAACTGAATCTTCAGTTAACTAAAACTTCAAATTATGACAAATTCAGAGCAGTCATACATAACTGAATCTCAGTTAACTGAAACTTCAAATTAAGACAAATTCAGAGAAGTCATACATATAGGAATACAACTTCAGTGCCATGGAAATAAGTTAACTTAGAGCAGTCATACTTATTCAGTGCCATGGAAATTAACCAAGTTCACTACAGGAATACAACTAATTAAAAGATCCATCTTAAGGCAGCATTACACCAGTAATGAATTACTCAAATTCATCTAAAATCTCCTTCAACCTCCTTATCTTGCTCTTGTTCTCCTCCTTGTGCCTGAATAAATCACCAATCATGTACTCAAGTTTCTTCTTCTCCTTCTTCAGGTCATCCCTCTGTGACACAACTTTGTCCAGCTCTTCCTTCATGTTGTCCATCTGTTCCTTCATGCTGTCCATCTGTTGCTTCATCTCATCCCTCTCTTTCTCTGCCTTAGCCCTCACAACCTGATGAATGGTAGTGCTAGATTTATCAGACAACTTCTTCTTCTCAAGCTCTTGCTTCAGGTCAGAAACAACAAGTCTTGCATTGCCCAATTCAGTAATTGCCTGCTCCTTGTCAGCCACCATCTTAGCAAAATCTAGTTTAAAAAACCTCAGATCCTTTTCCATCTTTTCCTTCTCTTTCACAACCCTAAAATTCTCTTCAACATTAACTACATTTTCCCTGAGCCTTAGCTTGTTCTCATCTTGATACATGCCCCAAACCCTGGCTAAACTCATCTTTAGAGTGGCAGGCCATTCAGGGTCAATCCACTCCACAAAGTTGCATTTAGGTATTTCCTACAAAATAAGAAAGAAAACATTTTTAGATAAATGTCAAAGCTTGTAGCGCTATTGATCTATTATTACAACACTATCTCAATTCTTAGCATAACCAAAACTTCTGCAATTGAAAATTTCAGTTCACTAAATCCTGTTTTCTTCAGTGAACTGATTTTCCTCAATAAACTATATTGATGCACTAATCCACAATTAAATGCCACACTATAAGATTATGCACATGACACTAAGATGACACATTACAAATTTGCCGGCCTTAACTGTAGATCTACTAATCTTTTGTGCACAAGCAAGATACCTCCTTCCACTGTCAACTGATTCAAAGGAAACAAACTTCTCATAGACACACTGGTGTTCACATCTAACTGCAAGATCTGGAGCAAGGCCTGTCCATTCAGAGCAGAGAATGGTGGCAGCAGCAGGAGCCTAGAAAATATTCTTGTCAGCAAAAATTCCCCATTTCTAACCCTAAATGCCAGTGAGTATGTATGTTATGTACTGGAGCTAACCTCACTTGTGACAGAGTACCCGTCGGACGAAGGGCTGGATCCTTCACTCCAAGACACCATGGCGGCGAGCTGGACGGAAGGCGGCGGTGAGCTGGACGGTGGCGACGAGCTGGAGAGCAGGGGATCGTCGAGAGCAGAGAAAGATGAGTGAGTGGAGTGGGCTGAGTAGAATATCCCAGGAACATACCCAGGCAACTAAACTAAGGTGGTGTAGTGCGGGTTAATAATTGCTAAGTACAGGGGGCTAAATGCAAAGTGTGATGGGCTGACCGGCTGTGCTGACTAGGCGCCACTTGTCGTGCTACGATTGGCCAGGACTAGATTTGCACATTGGGTGCAAGTTGTGGGACTCAATAGTTGGCTTTTGCAAGTTTGGGACCAAATCGTCACATTCAGGACAAGTTGTGGGACTCCTGGTGCTATTACCTCAAACTGAAAAGATAGCAGAATATCTCTGAGCTTGACAGCAACGCCCATCACCTGCCTCCGGCACCATGACAGCAGCCACCGAAGAAAAGAAAGATGGATCACCTCCTCACTCGAGCTCGACGCGGCTCCATCGCTGATATGCAGCTTTGCGGACCTCCAAGGTGGCTCACCAAAAGTGAAGCCCTTACCGTTGAACGAATCAGACCGGGGCAACACCCCGGACACGCCATCGAACTCCAGATCTGACACCCCACCGTGACTAAGACGTCGCGGAAGGAAACCATACATGCCATCCACGAATCACGAACCCAGCACATGTTTCGTCTTCCAGATGTCGTCGATGCAGACCACAATCTGCATCCGCTCCTGGACTACCTCCCAAGCTCTGCGCCGAAGCTGGAGCAAACGCCGTCGCAACGGCGGAGCCCGAGGACACAGGTCCACCACAAGGATGCCGCCGCCGCCACGCCATCCTTGCTTGAACAGACTGGTTTCCAAATCCACCTCCAACCATAGGACGAATGGCCCTGTCAAGGAAGGATCCGAAGAATCTTTATTCAGCGCTGTCATCGTCGCCGCCGAAACAAAGACGATGAACAACCTAAAAATCTAAACTACGAGGGAGTAAAAACGATCCACACGCGTGGATCCGGCAACCCCCCTCACCACCGACGACTGAGGTCGCCGGCGGAGGGGAGCCGCCGGAAGACGGCGCTGGAAGATTGGGTCTCTTGGCGGCGGCTAGGGTTCCAGCCGCCAGGACAGGAGGAAAACGATTCCGTCTCCGCTTTATCTGCCCACGACGGCAGTATATGTAAAACACAATTCATGCATTGTTGTGTGTATTTTAAGACAATGATAAAATTCTGAAAACAAATACAGGAGTATTTAACATAAAATGCATGTGGTAGGTAGGTCCATATCATTGCTCCATTATTTTTCCTTTTTTGCGGCGACCATGTCATTATTGCTCCGTCACTGAACTAGTACGAGACAATGTTAGGTGAACCCGTGAAAACCACTGCAACGGCATTGCCGTCACAAGTCTATCCTTCCCGCGTCAACGGCAGCAGGTCCATGGCGAACACCGTGATCCTGTACCCCGGCCTCACCGTGAGCCACTTCGTCCCCATGGTGCACCTCGCCGGCGCCCTCCTCGACCACGGCTACGCCGTCTCCGTCGCGCTCATCGACCCCGCCGTCAACGGGGACCCCGCCTTCCGCGCCGTCGTCGCCCGCGCGGTCGCCTCCATGCCGTCCCTCCGATTCCACACGCTCCCGCCCTCCGAGGACGCGCCCACGCTGATCGCGCCGTTCATCCCCAGGTACCTCGACATCGTCGGCCGCCACAACGACCGCCTCCGCGACTTCCTCTGCTCCTTTACACGCGGCGTCCACGCCGTGGTCGTTGACTCGCTGTCCGTCGAGGCGCTCGGCGTCGTCAAGCGGCTCGGGATCCCCCGGTACGTCATGTTCACCTCCGGCGCGGCCGCGCTCGCCGCCTTCGTCCAGCTTCCTTCCGTCCTCGCGGAGGCGCGGAGGACGTTCCAGGAGCTAGGCGACGCGCCGCTCGAGTTATTCGGCCTTCCGCCCATGCCTGCCTCCCACCTGCTCGGCGAATTGCTCGAGGACCCTGAGAGCGAGATCTACAAGGCGGCGGTGACCGCGCTGTACGGGATCCCGGAGGCCGATGGCATCCTGGTGAACACGTTCGAGTCGCTGGATGCTGGGGTGGTGGCGGCACTCGGCGACCCCCGGTGTCTGCCGGGACGGATCATGCCTCCGGTGTACTGCGTCGGGCCATTCGTTGGGGGCGTCGGAAGCGAGGCGAAAGACCGGCATGAGTGCCTCACGTGGCTTGACGGGCAGCCGGAGAGCAGCGTCGTTTTCCTCTGCTTCGGCAGCGGGGGAAACCACTCGGCGGAGCAGATCAAGGAGATCGCCGTCGGCCTGGAGAACTCCGGCCACCGGTTCCTGTGGGTCGTGGGAAACCCTTTCAGCGACGACCAGGACTTCGACGCTCTCTTGCCGAACGGGTCCCTAGACCGCACCAGAGGCCGCGGCCTGGTCGTCAAGCAGTGGGTGCCGCAGGCAGAGGTGCTCCACCACAGGGCCACCGGCGCGTTCGTGACGCACTGCGGGTGGAACTCCGTGCTGGAGGGCGTGACGGCCGGCGTGCCGATGCTGTGCTGGCCGCTGTACGCGGAGCAGAAGATGAACATGCTGCGCATGGTGGGGGAGATGGGAGTCGCCGCGGAGATGGTCGGGTGGCAGCGGGGGCTGGTCGAGGCAGCCGAGGTGGAGGGCGAGGTGAGGCTGGTCATGGACTCCGAGGATGGCATGGAGCTCCGGGCGCGGGCGGCGGCACACAAGGAAGGCGCGTCCGTGGCCTGGAGCGACGGCGGCTCGTCGCGTGCGGCGATTGCCAGGTTCTTGGCCGACGTCGACAGCCGGCAGCCTCAGACTCGCGGTGATCGGTGAGAGTGAGCGTGGACTTGGCATGCATACAGTACATGCTTCTTGATGCATCTCGTACCAGAGCGCGCATACAGATGATAATCGCATTCGCTGAGGCCAATGCATATGAAAATGAAGTTCAATGGGCGATTTCTCTACCGTCCGATTTTATGTGGAGATTCCTGGTTACTTTTTGCGTGGTTGGAGAGATTCCTGTTGTGTATGTATATGTCTCAGAATGATGGTCTATTGGTCCGGATTGTTTTCATCAGGGTTTTCTTCTTAGAACTCCAACAACGATTAAGTTACCGAATAATTTTCAAATGTTAGGAGGAGAGCTGCAAATTTCATTTATTGGAAAAAAAATCATTACGTCATGCAAAAATATGAAAGCACATCCTTTAAAAAAACTATGCCAGACGTGGTTGGAACTATCTATCTGTTACATGAATATTTTGTAAGAATTTGGTAATTTATAGTACATGATTCCATCTATGATTCAAATATTAGAAATCATATTATTAAGCCAACTGTCCATGGGATTTTTTTATGGAAACGATCTATGACGCGTCCTTTTTGACGCCCGGATCTCAAAGATGTGATACATGGCAATCCCTGTGGGCATACCATCGTTCCCATGCAGATGCACCCTGCCGAGGGAACGAAACAAACATTCTCTCCCATACACCATCTCAAGCGAATGACTCGTGTTTAGGATGACACTCCCCTATGATGTAGCACGACAATTATTGAAAGCATATATGACAACTTTTGTGCATAGCATGTCAATTCTCCCGATAGCAGCATGGCAATTTCTAAACATGTGGGTAACTTTCCCCTTTTCTTAGCCTGCCAGTTCTCTCTACGGCAGCATGTCAAATCTTTGAAATGCATGACAATATTCTTGTTACAGTGTGATGATGTTTTTTTCTATAGCATGGCTCAACATAGAAATTCCCGGCTTCATTCCCTACTCGTCATAGTTATATCTCCTCGGGTACCACCCACGCCGCCTCCCCGAGCGAGGCGGCCGGGGCGGCCCTCCCTCCCCCCCGCCTAGCCCTCCTTCCCTCGCCCCATCCCGCCGATGCCGTCGGCCTGCGTGGCCGGACGCTTGCCTGTGTGGCGCCGTTCTTGGCCGGCGGTGGCGGCCCCTCATCCTTCTCCCGACGCGGTTCCCGGCTCGGGCCGCGAGTTTCGGCGGCGGTGTTCCTCGGCAGGCGGCGTTCTGGTGCAGATCAGGTGGCTGTGTAGCGGCGGTGGTGGCTGGCGGCGCCCTCCAGGCCCGGATCTGGACCCCTTCGGGCAAGATCTAGGTCGGGGCGGGCTGGCTTGGCCTCCGGCGGCCGCCTTCGGCTGGTCTGGCGAGCCATGGGAGACGGGGGCGGCGGCTATTGCGCCGCGTCTGCTGCAGCACGGCAACGTGAGCTTAGCGAGCCCGATCTAGGCCTAGCTGGGCAGTTGGCCCGGCCTGCTCTGCGTCCGGTCTGCTACCGCTTGTGCCGGTGGAGGTTGTCCCCTCCCACGTGGCTGCGGTACTGCCGGCCCCTGTCAACGGTGGTTTTGTTTGGCCTGGCCGGCCTCGCGATGTTTGTCGTGGTGAGACGACGATGGTGTCCTCGTGGTTGTGGTGGCGCATGGCGGTGGGCGGTAGGCAGGGTGGAGCCAACAATTGGTCCTGGGTGGTGGGTGTGAGAGGTAGGGAGAAATCTCTGTCGGGCCTGGCCGACTCCGACGCGGTGACGCCTGTGGGCGCCGCCTCCATTCTTGAAGGGCACCGGGTATACCTCTCCCTCACTCCCCTCCGCGTTCCAGGAGAAATCCTAGGACTCGTCCGGGCAGCAGCGTTGTCGTCGTCGCGATCCTTCTTGAAGGTGCTGCTTGGTACTCGGCGATTCGAGGGCATTGGAGTGTGGCGGAATTCTTCGGTGGGCGCTGCGGTTGCGTGATGCTACAGCTTTCGTTGAGCCGGTGTTGCTCGCATTTGTTTTTCTTATTTTTTTTCTTGTTTTCTTTTGGGCATGATTGTGTTGTCTGCCCCAGCGTGATATCGTTGGCTGTATCGGTGACGGTTGCTTTGTAATACAAAGCGGGGGAAACCCTATTTCGGATGAACATGGAAATTCCCGAAACAATCCTTGGAGTGGGTTTTCGAGAGAACACTCTCAAGTGGCGCCGTTCGCTCGAATGAGCCTCGGTAACACCAGGGAGGGGCGTTTTCTTCCTATTAGATTCCCAAAATACTTATTATGAAAAATCAATCAATCATGGTACTACCGCGTAACAAAGTTAATGTGCAACCATTGTTTAATATGCAATGGCTTTAAAAGGCAGACTATTGGAATTAGTGTGTAACCATTGTTGAATTTATAAGGGTATGATTTTTTTAACAAGAGACGGGTCACGAAGGACCCACAACAGCTTTATAGATATCGCATTGCAGTGCAACTGACAAAGGACCCCAACTATAAGCCAAATTACAACTCAATTAAAAGTACTTTGTAGAGAAGACTCTCGACTCGAGAAGAATAATGCAATGTGATCCACAATTGCCGTCGATGCTCCAACACCAGGCTGAGTTCAACATCACCAGGGACGAAACCGTCAGGACGCGAAGCTTCCATCACTCCGCCGCTAACAGAAGCCAGGAAAGAAACCATTTTATTTTGTATGATTGAATCCGACCATAGTCTTCCTTAAGATAGTTTTGGTCTTGATTCTCAAAATTAATAATCCTCTATTGCAAGTAAATAAATTGGGGTGCAAGTTCAATGTTACATGATTCTTTTCTTAGGGATCCATGCTATATGATTCAGATAGACATGGCGCCACAATCCTATGCTATTTTCTTTTGCACTTTTCTCTATAGTTTTTCAATACGGCAAAATCACAGTAAAAAATATACATCACTTATAAATATCATATACAGTCTAATTGTTCCCATGTGTTCGATAGTCATGTTTTTGGCAGAGCTTTTCAGAAATCAACTCGAGATCCCATATAAACAAGTGAGTCATAAACCTATAATAGCGTATCAAAAGTGAAACGCCTAAAAAAGAATAATCACAGCTAATACTACTACACAAATGTCACTCCTGGACTTTCTCAAATAACATTATTCTTCAGTCAACATTAGCGGTAAACTTGGACTTAACATGAATGAATAATAACAAAGAGTTTTCCTCTGTATATACCAATTCATTATATCTTTATGAAAGAACCAACTAGGTGAGAGGGAATAATCCACACTATGTGTTCTTGATCATAAATGATAAGAGCCCTAAAAAACAATAAATGACAGGACGAGAGATATACAAGGTATCAAGAAAAATTCCACATGAAAGCATTGTGTTTTGGATAGACATAGAAAAACACTATACAATCCATTATTATTTGAAACAGGAGTCAAACTAGCCACTATGTTTTTTCTTGGACTTCCCTTGATGGGTCGTTGGGTGAAACCCCATGTCCTTTGCCGGACTCGGCGGCCGTGACATGATGTGTCATTACCCTTTTGACGTAGTCATTGGAGCATTTTGGTCCTAGTCATTGCCGTAGCGTGTTGTTTCAGAAGTAGGTAACAGCATTGCAAGTCATAAAATTTATACTAAATGTGATGGTTTGGTCCTACAACTTGTAAAAGACAATTATTTGGTCCTAGAACTTATCTCAGATTTGCACATTTAGTCCTTGGCCAATCATGAGCAGTCAAGTGGAGCCAGCTGGACTAAGCCAGTCAGCGCTGCACGTTTTTCAAATACCCCCCTGCCATTTATCAATTTCTTCATAAAATCAACATGCAAGCTATTCTAAAAAAAACATGCAAGCTGCTTTTGTGAAGTGAACCAACCACTTTTTCGACTGATTTTAAAGTGTTGCGTAATCTCGTCTGTTGGCGGGGCTTGGTTGGTAGGCCTGCAATGATAGAACTGACTTGCCAATATGTGCACATCCACTTTTTTTCTCGGGAATGTGCACATCCACTCGTCGAAGGATTAGTTGAAAACGTGTTCGTGTGACCGTGTCAGGACAACGACAAGGCATCGATGTTGGCCAAGATCAATTCTTGACACGGACAGTATATAAGTAAATAAACCATGGTTTACGACAAACACACACACACATACACACTCGTGACGGGTGGAAGGAAAAGGATAATCTCATAGACACACGGGAGAAGACACGTGCGCATGGTTCAAGGCAGGGATCCAGACGGCACTCAAATGACAACTTGCTAGAGTGCCCTGCAGCTCATCAACATCCTGAATTTTTGCCTCAGACAAAGAGGCGATCCGGTCTCGATCAAGCGGCACACTGACTGAGATCGTCTTTTCAGTGATTCGGTCCTAGTTTATTCTCTCGACTTGAACACGAACAATGGACACGGCATGAAGAAGGCACACTCTCTGCATGAGAAAGGAGCAACCAATGGTGATCAGTGGACAGGTTAAGTACGGTCAAGGGTGAGTGCAATGCCCTGAAGATAGAGAGTAGTATGGCTTACACCATGGGACGATCTTCCAGCGCTGGTTGCCGCCAGGCCTGGTTGTCGCCCTTGCACTACTCCCAGAGCTCGACCCCGGTGCCATCGTGGACGCCGCCGTGGTCCTTGTGGCCGTGGAGCGCGTTGAAGTTGAGGTAGATGTTGTTCACCACGCGGAAGCCCTTGCCCACGTCCCCGCCCTCCGTCCACAGCAGCTACTCGTCCATGTACTCCGGTTGTAGCCCACAAGCTTCACCTATAGTCACGCAGGGCGTGTTTGACAGACATAGTGACCGGGCATTATATTGCTAGCTGAAGCCTGGCTCACATGAGGCTGGTTGAGCAAATGCAACCTATAAATCAACATCTGCAACCTGTTTGGTTGCCCGCATTTAGTTCTCACACATTAGGGGTTAACTTAGCGCACTGTGTTTGGTTGTCCGTTTGTGTACGCGCAAACACAATACCCGTTGTTTGGTTGCATGCAACGCCTGTTGTCTGATAACCTCTTCGGTGTAGTGGTGAGGTTACCAGCACACAG